TTCATTTATGTGACTACATTTTGATTTAAAATTGTGAAAAAATACATATGAATAGTGTAAAGCAGTGGAAATTCAGGGTTATCACCTAACACCATAATCCTAAACCCAAATTGTATTTTGAAATTCATTTAGGAGCCATTCTTATTCCATGCTGACAAACAAAGATTGTGAATATAAGAGAAAACATTTCTTAATTTCTTGCAATAAGTCAAAAGCTGTACAGTGCTGTTTCCTGGATGCTGGTGCTGTTGTTAATCTGTAAGATTCTGGTTCCATAATCATTATAGTGTTTCAGCTATCTGTGGAGAAGCACAGAAAAACATTTTTCAGTCACAGAGGTTTTCTACAAATGTGAGAGGTGTGTTAAAACTCACATTCCTCACAGTGACATGTTTCAACTGAGCCTCCACTGCATGTGCTGCCTTCAGGGAGTGGAGCGCTGAAATACAGCACCTCTTCATCCAGCAAATCTCTGTCTAAGGGCCAGAGCTCACCCTTAAATGTCTCCAAATTACTGTATTTTTTTTTAACCAGTACAATAAAGTAAAACAAACTGGATGCTGACCAGCCAGTCAACTTTGAGGTATGCTACTACTAGGACAACAACACAAGTTTCAAGTTATTATTAAGAACAATAGACCCCTGTGTGCTAACCTGGCTGTGAAACACCAAGAAAACACAGAGACGCTGAAGAGATTAAAATTAAGTGTATAAAACAAGTAAAAGTGCAATGTATGACAGGTCTGATCTGAAGCAGAGCCATAAACAGGCAGCAATCAAATCTACTCATCAGAGCTTAATAAACAGGCGAACACACTTTGTAAGCTGATTGCTGTCATTCAGTGCTTGATGTTTACATTTTGCGTAGTGTTTTATCAGTATTAATAAAATATGAACACTATGCCTTTGTTGATAGATAGATAGCTTAACAAAGAGGCAGCTCACTAAAGACGACACACACCTTTGTCAGAGGCTTAAAGGAGACAGCAGCTGATGTATTTGTTGCTCTAGCTGTGAAAAGAATTGGTTTTATTTTGTATTTATCTGCATAAAGATTTAAAACTAAGCACCCTTATTAGTTTAAAATGCAAGGAAACAGCCAGCAGAGCTAAAGAAAAAATTACAGCTGCAAAGTCTTTCTCAGTGTGCTTAGCAAACCAGATACAGGCTGCCTGTGAGCAGTGTTTTTAGAGGCTTGTTTCTCAGCTGTCACCTTCCAGTGGGCCAAAAGATTACCCTGAACAAGTCACACTGTCCAGAGGTATCTGGCCTACACAGAACACAGAAGTAAAGCATAGTCTGTCTGTACAGAACAGCAGCTCATAACTCAAAGATATTGGTGTCCTTGTCAATAAAATCACATATAAAGAAGACGGGGCTCAAATGAATGTGCTCTCGAGAGAAATATCTTGTCAGGCGAGGCTCGCTGCAGCTCCCTACCTCAGGAATGTGTCGACGCTGTTCCAACCCCTCAACCCCCCTACCTATGCCTCCCCCCAACCCTGCCATTGTGAGGGGAAGGAATGCTTTTCAGAAAGTCCTCTTTTTAGTCCTTTCACATTGGGGAATGTTGGGTGTCACCCCATTTTTCATTTAAGGCTGAAAGTAGGATGTAGTTGTAGCTAGAGACGTTTCTTGAAATAGAAATGCATTGTACCTACTGTATGTGCAGTATGTGGTGGCTATAATGCACATGGCAATTCACTTCCCTGCACCCATGTATTATTCGATAATATATGGCCATATGGATTATAACAATTCTAGGACGGAAAGGTGGTTTTTTTTCTTGCCACAGCTGCATTTTTAAAACTATTTTTATGAAAATGGGTTTGAGGAGCTTGAGTTCTGAAATGCTTCAGAAATACCCAGGCATAATGAAGGATGACACAGAAATGAACAAATTACAACAAAATCAGAATCAGAATCAGCTTTGCTGGCCAGGTGTGTTGGACACACAAGGATTTTGACTCTGGTACATCAGCTCTCGGTGTATAATGACTTATCAAATAATGAACAGGAGGCCCTTATTAGATTAATACACAAAACTCCTTTATTTGATTTGTGAGTTTATGCCTTCCTTGGAGTCTTCTTTCAAAGCATTTGAGGTGGATAAGATGTTGTATCTGTTACGTTAATCAAAGAAGTGTTTTAAAATGATGATTATACTAATATTGTTGTATGGTCAAAGCAGTTTTAGAATAGAACTGATTGCAGCTTCCATGTTAATTAGTTCTTTTTCTTAACTCTTGGCACTAAAAACATGGCACATGGCAGGGTGTGGCAGCACGACTGGAAAATGGGCGGCCCTATGCCTGTGCTTGTATCTTATTGGCTGGGTCACTCCTCTAAAACAGCTACCTGTGTCAGGTAGAGAAAAAAGTCAGAGAGAAGACAGATAAGCACCTTGTCAGCTGTGCCTTCAGTCCCTTGAGCATTTTTGTTGTTTGATTTGCTTTGCACTCAGTCACTGGGGAACTAAAGGAACAAATGAGGTGAGTAATGCATTTTAAGCAAGGTAAGGCATTCATCCACTCACAGAAAAATCTAAAACCCCAATCTTCAGTTAGTAGATTTGTCTAGAGTTACAACTATATTATAACTAATAGCTGATTTCAGATGTGCTTGGAGGCAGCGCTGTGTCGAGTTCCAGCAGAACCAACTGAGATTTTTGGTCACAGGAAAGTATCAGCTGTGTGAAAAGGTGTACAAGTCAAAATGCACATAAGAGGGAAAGGGGAAATCAGAAAGCTTCGGGTGTGAAGAATGAGCACAGGGTTGAGTTGGTGTTGTGTTTCTCCAGCAACGGGACTCTGAGGAAAACTGATAGCAAGACTGACTGTGGTGTCTGGTGGCAGAGGTGGGCTCTAGGAGGGCTGTGCTGGGGTTGCATGGCTGATGACTAAACAGTCTTTCAGTGGAGGCCTGTGGTAACGTGCCAGAACCCAGGATTTCAAACAGCAGCACACAACCCTGGAGCCACAGAGTAGGGCAGGCCTGGTCTCGCTCAGACTTAGGCTCAGACAAGAAAAGGGAGAGGCCACATTCAGTTCCTGCTGCAGTCATTACCAGCCCCTCAGACTCAGAGGCTTCCTCATAAATCATCCAGTTCCAAATGCCTGCTCCGCACCAGGTGCCAGGGTCAGCCTCCGTCCTGTAGCAACAAGACACACTGGTAGTACAGCTTAAGACTGTAATTTAATTAACAGTCGGTGTTCCTGCAAAAACGCACTTAGTGCAGTGTATCTCTTTGGGAAAACTGTATCAAGGAAGTTGAACAAGGCTGTTATTTTTTGAACATGTGTATTTGTGTCTTTAATTTCAGACACTTCCTACAAGAATATTCCATGTATTCTATCCTTCATTCCACCGGAGTCTGTATCCGTACCTAACCAGATTTCAGTGGTGTGAAGTGTAAGACGCATGGGGATACGACTTCAGCAGATTCACACACAATCATAATATCAGAAGGCATTTAAGTCAGAAGTCAAAGCAGCAATTCAATTTGTTCCCACTGTTCCACATTTCTGATTTTATTTTGAATACTGGAAACCTCCTGTTTATATATCATTTGGTGCTGTACTTATTATTTGGTACTGTACCATATAGAAGATAATATGTTTATGATATGTATCTTTATCAGTAAGACACTGTACTGAGCATGGCAATGTGAATAAATTTGCTGACCTTGAGCCCTGTGTTTCTTTTTTCTACAAGTGCAACATCTCAAATCATTACAGAGCCATTATACCACCCACACCCAAGATTCTGTGGTTCTCGGCCCCAGAGCATGATTTTTTTTTTCATTACCCAACATGGAAAATTCGAGACTCAGCCCACACAAACAACCTTTACTGTTTGCTGGCAAATGAAGCTTATTAACAATTTAAAATATACCCGCACAGTGGCCCACACAGTAATGTCATTAAACATGTTTCTTCCTGCTAGAAAGATGCATCTCCACTACTCACAGCACACTAATCTGCAGTACTGCACAAGGAAATATAAACATGATCATCTTTGCTGTTTTACTTTTCCATACCTTGAAATGATATTTTCATTGTCTACTCCACAATACATGCATTACATGCTATGCAACGCCAGTGATAATTATTTAATATGTTGGCTAGGCTGTGCAGTTTTTGTAAAGCTCATAGTCCTTAACTGCAGGGGATTTCCACCAGACCTGGCCTGGATAAAGCTTTAAGTTCAATAGAATTTTAAATAAAACAAAGCAGGTTCTGTTTTAGTTTTGGTTCCTGACAATCAGTCTCCTCTGGAGACTTTTTAGAATGTGAAACAATAATAAAACCACAGTGCAAAGCAGCATATTGTTGGCCCTTGGGCTACACATGTGGGCACACTCATATAATATAAAAGCACCCTCCTGGTCTCAATGACATGGAATGGATTTTTACCTCAATAGCCTCTAATTGTATTTTAGCAGTTTCACAATCTCAGACTTTTAAGTGCATAGCTACAAGCAATGCTAGTCTCTCAGTCAACACAAAAACAATGTGCAAGCTGAGATCCAGACATGCTGTCATGTTGTGTGACCAGGTCAACCTGCAACATGTGTACGTCACTCCAGAAACTCAGCTCCAGCCCGTAATCAAACTGTCACACACAGTGATCTAATAATGTTTGTGATATCACCTGATGTTTGCCTTTAACTTCATAAATATCTCACAATAAGCATTACTTAAACTTGGAATGTGATGCCTGCAATGAATATTTCAGGATATTAATCAGTGCAAAGTTTGATTCGAAACATTTCCACAGTTTTTGACTATTTCATAATATATAGAATAAATAAGAAGAAACATTATAAGCTCTGAATTTGTAATGGGATTTGTGTTATTATTTTGGTCATGTAATAAACTATACATTCATGCATTCATAAACATATTCTCATTTGAATAAATATCTTGCATTGTGATTGGCTGTTTCATAAACAATCAAAGAATGCTACTCAGACAGCTGCGCATTGTTTACAACTGAACTAATTCTACATCATTTGTAAGTTTTGGAAATAAACTCACTTTACTGGAGCAGCATAAACTGAGACTAAACTACTTCAGGTGACATGGAAATCTGCAAATCCTGCCTCTTCTCTGTCTTTCTGCTTCTGAGTTCAACATTTGGAGAGGACACAGGTGAGAGCAAATGTTCCTGCAGCAGGTGCCTCCTGCATTAGTATCAACAGCCAGCGTGCTATAAAAACCAAAACCTCAGTGTGTCTGAAGTTGCCGATTGTTCTCTGTTCTGTTGTGGAATGTTGATTATACACTTTCTATTCTGTGCAGCTGAGGAGGGTAATATGCCACTCAAGAAGCAGCGCTCACTAACTGAGAGCACTGACATGTTGCAGACATGTAGAGTAGTGTCAGCATCGTGCATCATTAGCTAAAATTCACAGCGGTCATGCTTTTATGTGACCGCCAAACACAAGCTATGGTCCTATCACCTATTAGCTTAACCCTGTTGAATCATTTGTGTTCTGTGTGTTTAGTGGCAGAAGACGTCAGGTCTCATCAGCTGAAGCGATTAGTGGAGCTGCTAACATCTAAGGAGTGTGAGGACCTTCTGTTAGCCCTCTCTCACCCAGAGGAGAACATTTTCCAGCATCTTGAGCGGCTCTCAGCAGAAAATAATCAAATAGATCTCAAGCCTAGAGCCAAGAGAGACACCTCTTCTGCTGAGGGTTAGCATTTGAGACACATCTCACCTGACACCTTTGACACTTTAGACCACAGAAATCATAGATGTTAAAAGTTACAACTGAAATATCAATGAGAGTAGGAGAGAGTTCTCAGAAAAACAACAAGCACACTGTGAGCTGTAAAAAGGTAGAATAAGTCCACCCCGAGACCTGTCTGTTTGTCACACGTCACACAGCTTCTGGCTGCAAGCTGACTGTCAGAGACTTGTCTGTTTTGTGTTCACTAGATGGAGAGGTTCAGTGCAGGACGGCCCTGACAGACTGGCTGCTGAGGCATGGTGAGCAGACCTACTACGACAGGCTCTCTCGCGCCTTGCAGCACATTGGCAGAACAGACATCGCCATAGGTGAGACACAAATGCAGACAGAAAGAACACATGTGCCTCCTGCAGCATGGAATCATTCCTTTTTAAATAGAATACTTGTGTGTGGAGCCACTACTGTAATGTCTTTCAAATTAAAATAGTTCACTTTTTATGTGCAATACAATGTTGTTGAAAGCAGCAGACATCCCAGCATGCCCCTTGATAAATTGAAATTGGAACAAAGTGTCATTGGGTACATGGCAGTGTATTTTCAAAACTGGTTTATTTTGGACAAAAAGGCCTCCTCAAGACTTTAAAAAACTGTGTAATTGCTTCGTTAGTTTGAGATTCATTTTAATTGGAACTTCACAAGTGGCATATTATGCACGCTGCCAGTCTCTGGCATGTGTTGCAGTCCAGTGTGCACGCAACCCCACAGCCGAGCGGAGTTGGATAAAAGGACGTGCAAATGATCTGACAGAGGACATCGTGGAGCCAACACCAGCCACAGAACAAACCATCTGCTGCTTCGGAGAAAAAATCAAGCCAAGGACAGGATGGGAA